CTGCTACAGGTCTGCGGCAGGCTGACCGGCGCTCTGTCTCCGTCATTCATGGGGCGACCGGTGCGGGGTGAGTGAGAGAGACAGCACTCTGTTCGGACTCGGGCCGCAGGTCGGCATGCGTCGCGGCTGGCACACGTGTTTCCCAGCCCGGGTCCCACGCTGGGCCGAGCCGGTGTGTTTCTGAGCGACCTGCACCTTCATTCCCCACCACACAGAAACGCTGTGCGGTCATGATGGATAGAGTTCAGCAATGGCGTATGCTTCCAGACCAAAAGGCATTCGGTCGCCACTGGAAAAGAAGAGGGACGAAGAAAGCGAGCACGGTAGAAAAAGCCACCAGGGTGGAAGCAAAAGGAAGACCGCCGGCCGGCGCGGTCTGATGTGGGCCCGGTCACACACAAGCTGCGGCGCCGAAACTTCTCTCATCAACACCTCAGCGCCGGACAGGGGAACGCAGGGAGGCTGGAGAGCCAGGGGGGCTCGTGGTAAGTGGTGGCCGCATACACGCCTCGCCTTGCCTCGCAGCAGAGATTCGAGCGCCATCTGTATGCAGCGCCCCGCGCCCACCGCGCTCTTTCGCCGCCACTTGCCCCCCTAACTGCGACCCCCGGCCCGCCCTGGCCGGGCCCGCTACGTGCCGAGCATTATCCTTAAAGGAGTCTATCCGTTTATGAGGACACGTGGAGGCCGCGGTTCATGGCGTCGCGACGATCGCGGGCAATGCAATGGAAAAACGCACACTTTCTACTCGTTCACTGCGATCGCGAAGGGAATAAGGAATTCAATGGGTAAACAATAACTTTTTATTCTCTCTTCTTTTGATTTTTGTTTCCGAAGCTTAGTGTGGCACTGCGGAATATTTTGGCGCCAGCCCGGCCAGCCACGCGGGCACCAATTACAGAGCAGCAAGGTACACACAGGTACGGCATGCACTCACACACGCACACTCGTCGGTGTGAGGGCCCGCGCAATGAAAAGCCACGTGTGTGCATCCCCACTGCGAAAACACCATCAAAAACATCAACACAACAACAACAACACAAACAGACGCGCTGAGCGCCCCGCCACGGCCGCACACTGTTCCGGGGCACCGTTCCGAGTCCGGGGCCACCGCGTGGCGCGCGAGCCCGCGTCAGAAAACACAAGGCCGGCAAAAAAGATCCGCGGGACAAAAACCGTGGCCGGGTCTCCGAAAGATGAACACACTGTAGTAGCGGCCCGCTGGCTGGCTGCGCTAGTGGCCCATCGCGTCTCTGGAGAAAAATGCGACAGGACTTGACCCCGCGGCCCCACAGCCTCGCCGCACAGCCCAACCCTGCTTGACGATGATGGGGCAAAAAACTGCAAGTGTCCGGTCGGTCGGTCGCAGGGCCCCGCTACGCTGGCGGGGCGGCGTATAACGACACTCACACACACACTTACACGCACACACACACTTGCACGGGCCGTTACGGCTTGGAGCCCCGCCAGGCGACACTCGCATTGCAATCTCGCGGCGCGGCGCGGCACTTTGAAGCGATGCGTGTTGCCTAGCCTCCGGTCCGCGGGCGCACTCGGGTCTGCGACACGGCACAGCAGCATCGGCGAGAGCCCTTAACGGGCATTGCTTGTGCATGTGTGTAAGTGTTTGTGCGTGCGTGTATGTGTGTGCGTGTGTGCGCGCGCGTGTATGTGTGTGTGTGTTTCGGATTGATCCCGGAACCCTCTCCTTGCCCTCCCCATGCGCTGTCTGCGCCGACGAGCCGACACACAAAACCACTTCGCCGCGCCGCCGCGCCCCACATGCTGGCCGTGCTGGCCACGCTTGCCTCCACGGCGCTTCTTCGGCCCTAAAGAAGACACCTGCCACCTTATTTACGGGCGGGCCCATTACAGTGTGCCAGGCGGAGCCCGCTGTACACTGTAAAAATTTCGGGTAGTCATACTTTATGACGAGCCTGTGGAGTGGCACGTTCGTCGCTCTAAAAAAGGATGACGATTTCATGGCAAATTTTGGTGACAGTTTCATCAAAGCTCCTTTGACTTGTTTCATGGGCGTGTCTGATGACATTGTAGTAAGGAAAATAAGCCTTGAAATTGCCATCACGTGACAACAAAAATTTTGACAGTCTACTGACTCGATGGATCGCAGCCGGGGTGCCAAGCGGCATGCCTGCCTGCACATGCACGTTAGCCGTTAGGTGATGGTGATGATGAGGCAAGGGTTGGACACGCAAACTCCCGGTGCATTTACGTAAATTTGCAGTGCCGTCAAAGCGGATCGGCACTCCGTCTCTCTCGCACTCGCAGGATTTTTGCTGGGGTCCGAGAGAGACGGCGAGTTCGTTTACCAGTGTACTGCGATGATGGCCTGCATCATGAGCGTCATGGAAAGGCATCGGCATCCCCCACCAGAGACGGCAGAGCGAGAGAGAAGAACAGAAACGCACTGAGAATCACTCCTGCAACTTGATAAATCTGGCAGGGCCGCCGCCAATTAGGAGGCGAGTGCGCGATTTCTGGCAGAGAGAGAGAGAGAGAGGGGGAAAGGGAGGGGGGAGTCAAATCGCGTGCCAAGCTATAAACACCGTCAGGCAGCCAGGCAGCAGGACGAAGCTAAACAGGGCCACTCCAACTCGAAGTGCTCAACTCAAGGTCTTCCATGTGCGGCACGCGAAAACTTTGGGGAAGACGGACACACATGAACACACACACACACACACACACACACACACACACACACACACGGGCGGACGGACGGACCGGCACACACACTAACACACACATCAGCGATGTGCAGAATAGTATTTCAACCCGCCCGTGAACTATTCTCCAGAACCGCATGCATCACACACACCAGACTATACATCAGACATTCCCCCTCCCCTCGGCCGCTGCATCACGCGCGGAATGAAAGCAAGTCGGTATTGCGATCAACACAATTCCCTCGCTCTCCCCGCCGCCATTCTTTCTACTCTGCCGCTGACTGGCTGAGTGAAAACCTGAGTGAAAATCTGAAGGCGCACCGCCGCCGCGCCGCCGCGCCGTGTGTATATTCCGGCGGGTGGTGTGTCGCGATATCAGAAAGCATTTCCTCCGTTTATTCCGAGGCGCGGGGCGGAGGCACGGCCACGACCCGGCCACAAATTGTGTGTTTCCTTGTCCAGCTAGGCTTGGGCCGCGAGCGCCGCCGCTACCGCTGCAACAGCCCCCCCCCCCCTCTTTCCGCGCCACAACGCCCTCCTGGAAGGGGAGCGAGTGCAATTGAAACTTACGGCGTGGGGCCACGGCAAGCAGCGACCACGCCGCACGCGTGCCACGCTCCGCCACGCCTCCCGCGCAGTTTCATCCACCTCAACGATAGGCGAAAATGAGCTCGCGCGATATTCGTCGATCAACGACGACGGGCCCCGCAGACGGTGCAGTTGGCCCTCCCACCACTCCGCACACTGTGAAACTCCAGCAAGGATCGTACTTTGCAACGCGACCTGTGTGCGGAGTACTGGGAGAGCCTACAGAAAATTCTTTGAAAGCTCAAAACATGCAGTTTCATTTTGTTCGGGCCCAAAGAACTTTGTCAAGCGTTTGGCGAGCGAGAGCCAAGTATACAAGCGGGCGGAAAATTCCCCACGAATTTTTTTTCTTTTTTCCAGGATCCCGTTGGGTTTCCGCTTCCAGAGGACAGGCCGGGAAACTCCGTTGGGCACTGCGGTGACTGGAGGGTGGCCGCCAACACGTAATCAATACACTGGAGCCCGTCCCGTTCAGCCGGGCTGCAGTCTTGATCTCAGGACCCTCCAAGGCGGGGCGGGGCGGGACCAGCAGCGGGCGTTCCATTTCATTACACAGCACTGGCAGACACTCGGACTCGAGGGTCACAGATCAAGCGCAACCACAACTACTGGTCTAGTTCAGGGTCCAGAGCATGTGACCGTCCGAACTGAGATGCCTGATTCACCTCGGACAGCAACACACGCATGCGGTTGCATGCCGTTTCGATGGAAAGGGGCCATGGCACCACAGTGTGACAGGCCGGCCTAGGCCCCCGCAGGCTGAACCGCTTTTCTGTCTCCCTCGCACTCACGAGGCGGCCCGTGGAGGTGCGAGGCAGACACAGCGACGCAGCTTTGTTCGGAATCTGCCTGCTAGCCGGTCGGCGTGGGTGGCCAGGGACCTCTCGTCCGACACACCTGTCACACTGTCAATCCGCCTGACAGTCCCGTCCAGTCCCGTCCGAGCTCGCGCCCACCAACACACCATTTCAAACCAGAAAGAGCCACTTTTCATCAAGCCGATCCTGACAGCGAGGAGGCAGGGAACCGCATACACGCGGATTTATTCAAAGATGCACGTGGGGACTTGTGCTCTGACAAAAAAAATTCACACTGATTTGAGCACCAATGCTTACGGTAAAAGAGAATGAGATATCAATCACCTGGTATATTTTTTCTCGATGCCAATAGCATTATGGTGTGTTCTTTTTTCCGCTTCTCTTTTCAGTACAGTCAAATCTTTTTTTTTATTGCGAGGCTCAGGGCGCTCCCTGCGCACGTCGCTCGGATCACGTGACGCGGGCACGCGCGGCGAAACGGGCAAGCGGGCACGCACGCGCAATCCGCTGCATATGACTAGATGCCATCGAGGAGCCATAGGGTATTAATGGGACACGCTATCAGAGGCCGATGCATTCCAAACACAAACACAGCGCACAGACACATGCACACACAGATGCCCACACGCGCACACACAGTGGCACAGATTGCGAGCGCGCACGCAAACACATGGCCACCGATAGCGTAATTTGTTTGCAGAGCGATGCTGACCTGATGGACTCCTGCTGCTAATCAAACGGTTTGGAAAGGACGCGGCCAATCCAAGGCACGGCCGGCGCCATGCGGAAAATGGAGGCGCACACAACAGTTTGCAAGCGCAAAATTTAAAAAAAATAAAAGCAAACAAAAAAGGTGGCTGTGGGCACATGGACGTCCACACACTATTTTTTTTGTCGGAGAACTTCTTACCTTAAGGGGTAGTTTGGGCCATTTTTCCTTGCGGGTCTTGTAGCGGGCTTCGAACTTGTGGTCCCAGTACTCGCGGCTCTTCATCCAATGGGGCTGAAAAAAAACAAAAGAGAGGAAAAACTGTTAAAACAATCCAAAGCATTCACACTTCAGCTTTACCACTGTAATTTCTTTTCCCTTCAAGAAGCGGGCAATTTTCTCCCCCTCGGTCGTCCAAACTTATTCCGCTTTCATTTGCATCACTAACGTCATCTGTTAATGAGAAACTGATAAATTATTTCGTTTCTTTTTTGTGTGTGGTCGTTTCTTGCGGAGTGGAGAGTCTTTTCTCTTTTTTTTTTCTGGTGCCCCCCGGGCGACCGCATGGCACCGCATGGCACGGCACGATGACGAAGGACAATCCGCGTCCCTCGGCAAACAGGGCCGATATTTGAGGCAATATCGCGGCGGGCTGCAGGAAACGCTTCATTAGGAACGACGGGCCGAGTTTGCTTTGTGCGGAAGCACGCCGACGGCCCCAAACACGCTCCGTCTCTCTCGCACCCCCACGGCCCGCACCGCGAGTGCGAGAGAGACGGCTCGGTATTCGGAATCGCAACCCTCAGGGAGCCAAGGGGCGGAAAAGTAGTTCCCCGTCGCTGCAGCGCAGGGGAGAAAAAGAGAGAGAGAGAGCTGTAGAAACAGAGCCGACCGAGGCTGAAAACCACCAAACCGGTCTCAAGAGCGTATGGCGGTTGTGCGGCCGGGCCTTGCGCTCACATCATCTGGGCCCCAACAAGCACGCTGAGGGGTGACTGCTCAGCCTGACACCGAACAGTCTCTCTCTCTTTTAACGGTGTAACAGGGGTAGGCGCGGCGACTTAAACGGCCCGGGCGGGGGAGACGCGAGGGTGGTAGTCGCGGGGGAAGACGCGGGGCAGACTGCCCCTCCTCAAAGTTTGCCCAGCTTGACAATACCGCTTTGATTTCGGCTTGCAGACGTCGCTCTCAATGGGAAGCTTTGTGCCCCTGTCTCGCGCGCGGTTTTGTGCGTGTGTTTGCGTGCCTGTGTGTGTGTCTGTCTGTGTGTGCGCGCGCGTGTGTGCGTAAAGCTGTGCTGGAGCGAATGGCTGTGGTGCGGGACACCGACGCAGTCACCATGCAGCCAGCAAACAGTTGGAGTTGCCTACCCCCCGGGCGCCTATCATAAGCAACCCCCAGGCAGTCGGGGGCGGCGCTGTTTGAACAGGGTCTTCTTCCTGGCCGTGAGTCAGAGGCTGCGAGCGTCGTGCGGTTTGTCGAGACGTCGCTATGCCGTGCCGATCAAGCCAGCCTGCAATCACGTGATGGCGGGAATGCAACGCCGTTGTCTTTCCTCCTTCGCCGTCAGGAAACTCCCATCGTCACTCGTTTTTCGAAAACGACGGTGGCCTCCGAGTAAGGCAGCCACCATCGTTTCGATCGTAAACAAGAGGATCGATACGTCGAGACGAAAAGGCTCGGCCGAGTCTTGAATACAGCTCGTGAGAACTCCGCCGTAATTAGAGCCTTTCCTGTGTGCACACTGTGCACACCCACAAAAGGTGGGGTCTGACCCTTCGGTTCCAAGGGACTCGGCGGTCGTTACTTACAGCGTGGGCCACATAATTGTAATGTACAGGGCGTGGCGGATACACTGTGGTGGCGCCGGGTGGACTTGGGGGTCAGTGGTGCCGAATGCTGCAAACGGTGCACGGGCGTCCGTCGCACACGAGAAATCAGATTCCCAAAACGAAGTTTGAGTCCGTGAGCTCGGCGAGTTTCGCGGCCTCTAAAACTCCCGGTATTTGGTTAAATTACGGACTGGGGCAGGCAAAGCCATTGCGGGGCGGGCGGGGCGGGCGGGCCGCCGCAGAGGGCGGAAACTGGCGCACCATTGCCGCCCCACGTCCGGTACGGACTGACACCCCTCCCGGCAAACATCCTCATAACCCACGAAGCGACCATCAGTCCCTCCCAGCCCTAGCGGAGCTCCGCCATGCCCCTCTCACCGCCCCTCTCACCGCCCTCCGCCGCTGTCGTCCCTTAACGAGTCATTACGAGGGGGCGGAGCGGGGCGGAGCGGAGCGCGGAGGGAAGGGACTTCCCCGTCCGCACAAAAATGGTAGCGTTTTCAGAAACGAACCCACCCCGCCGCCGCGCCGCAAGACATAAACCAGTCCGGGCCTTTTAAAGCAGAGCTTGGGGACGCGGCCGCGACCCACGGGCCGTCTGAAACCGCGAGCAAAGCTCGAGGGGAACCTCGAGGGGAACCTCGAACGAGCCTCGCACAAACCTCAAGCCCTCGGACGAGCCTCGAACAAGCACTAAACCCTGGGCAAACCTTGAGTGAACTCCAGCCGATCATCGACCAAAGCAGCCGCGCTCTGAACCGAAACGAGTGATAAGGAAGGCGATAAAGTCGACGGCATTGGATCCCCTCGACGGAGAAAGAGAGCGCGCGAGATATTAGCATCTCCACTCGTTAACGTGCCGCGCCGCACACCTCGTTAGGGGTCACCAGGGGCAATAAAAGCAAAAGGGACGAGTGAAATTGGAGTGAAAAAAGGGGCGGGGCGCGGGGATTTGAACCCGGCGCCTTATTTATTTGGACCGTAAACGCTGCGACGCACCCTTGCATTAGGACGAGCCCGGGGGACGCGCGAGCGCTCGCCGGGAAAAAAGTAGTAGTGAGGCGACGTCGAAAAATAATGGTTCCTGTTGAAGGTTTTCTAATGAAATTCTTGGGTAGAGCTCTGAGACTTTCCGAAGACCAGCGAGGGAGAGGAGAGCGAAACGGTCGGAAAGACAGTGGCGCTATAGCGCTGCATCCTCGAAACTTGTCTGAAGGAGGAGCTCAGGGGCGGGCAGGCCAGGGGCAGGCCAGGCCGGCGAGGCGGGGCGTTGGCAGAAACTGACAGGCTGTATGGCTCGCGGGGCCTTGCCGGGCCGCGCGGGGACGCGCTGAGCGTCAAAGTGGGAGATAATAATCCATGGGTGAGAGCCCCTTCCATGCTGGCGCGGGGTCGTCGCCGCCGAGCGCCACCCCGCACCACGCCACGCCGAGCCACCCCGAGCCGCCCTGGGCACAATGGACGGCACTCCTACCCACTCCACCCCAAGTCAACCGACACGACCGGCCGAGGAACCGGAAAACGGTCATGAATTACGGGCAATATACTTGCGACGACTGTCACGCCAGAAGGGTGAGAGTTCGGTGGGGCGGGGCGGGGTGGTGGCGCTCGAGGGCGTGACAAGTAAGACGGACTCGGAGGGGGCCGGGCCCTGGGCCGGGCGGCCTTCTGACGGACGTTGCGCAGGAAAAGAGGTCGTCGAGAAGGGGTTGGGGTGGGGTAAGTAGCAGCGGCGTAGCAACGACCATCACCCCCCAGCTCCGCCACTGGCGAGGAAGGGTAGTTAGTGAAGGGTGTCTCTCGCAGTTCGCCACGTCAGCGGCTTTGGAATCGTCAGAAAGAACACGCAGTGCGACGCTGCCCGCTGGCTCAGAGCTTCAGTCCACTTCGACGACGACGTCGAGCTCCGCTGCCACCCCGCACACTCTAGACAGCCCGGGAAGGATCCAACGCTTAGGGCATTGTCTTAAATCTTAAAAGTTTCACTGAGATTTTTAATGGTTGTTACATGAAAACAGGACACACCATACAGTGGCGCTGCACCGGGAAGCCCACTCCGCGCATTAATTTGCGAACCACTCCTGCACTGGCAACAGGTTTGAGCTTTGACCGGGCGCGGCGCAGCCGGCCGCAGCGGGAGGAGGTGGACCGCGGGGACACTGCGCGGGGACAGTCCGGGAGAGAGCGAGAGAGAAAAGAAAAGCGGGTGGAAACGCGACTTGTCCGGGACACTGTCGGGACGGCAAAAAGTTTATCGCTCCTGCGACGTGCTATTATGTAATGGGCCAAAGAAGCGGCGGCTTCCGCTGCCTTCTCTTCCCTCCCCGCCGTTCAGTCCTTCATCCAGCCACACCCTCTCAAAGCGCCATTTTTTCCGGCCCATTTTTTATTCAAAGAAAAAAAAATGTATTTATGCCCAGGGACTTAGTACTTACAATCATGAGTGGGGAATGGAGCATAGGCAATAAAATTAGGCCGGTGGTGACGGTAGGGGAGCGGGGTGGGTGGAACTGCGTCGCGCTCCGGACGGGTTGTCCTCGGCTTGGCCGCATCGAGTGGGGCGTTCCGGTCGTCGTGCAGGTGGCGCCGGAAACGCGCAGAGCGTCAATCATAACGGGGGGAGGGGGGGGGAGGCCTCCGAGGGGGCGGCCGTCAGGGGCGCCAACATTTACAGTTAATCCATCAGGCATTTTCGATTCGACCCAATGGGGAGAACACGATTGGGGCTGAGTGGGGGCGCGGGGGCGCCGCACCGGGCATGGCGCGAGTTTTGGCCGCCCCCACCGGCCTTCTGGCCCACTGTGCGGTGGTGCGAAGCGCGGCGTCGATAGGCCGGGGCACTGCCAACGCCTCGATAAGACGTGAACGCTTTGTCCTGCCACCTAATTCGGAGCGCTCCCCCGCCAGCGGTATCTCCTCGGTGCTTCTGCAGCGGGGCATGCGGATCCACCACGGCGGTCGCAAGCCCTGCAACGGGCTGACTCAAACAGAGCTTCCGTCGCTCCGTCTCCGTCGCACTCACGGGGCGGGCCCTAGGGCAGTGGTCCTCAACCTTAGGGTCGCGACCCCAAGTGGGGTCGCGAAAAAATTTTAAGGGGTCGCGGCGAGGTAGCTGGGGTCGTGTTTTGGGCCGATTTTAAGCAGCCACTGCGTCTGATCCGAGGCGGGCATTTTGCTCCCTCAACCGGCAATTGGTCTTTGAACCTTCCTTTAGCATTCATTTGTTACGGAGTGTGATTATCAGTCTTAGTTTGGGAGCAGTATTGTCTCAAAGTTTACCAAAACGGTCAGAAATGTCTTTGAAAAATCGTGTTTTGGGCCGATTTTAAGCAGCCACTGCGTCTGATCCGAGGCGGTATTTCGTCCTCCTTCAACAGGCAATTGGTCTTTGGACCTTCTTTTAGCATGCCTTTGTTACGAAGTGTGAGATTATCGGTCTTAGTTTGGGAGCAGTATTGTCTC